AAATTAGTAAAATGAGCTCAATTTTGGTGGAGTCATTAAAAATGAGGTGTCTATCCAACTCCAATCTAGCCTCCGTTTGGAAAAATCCTAATTTGTAAAAGATTTTTAGAAAAATCTTTACTACCATGGCAGTGCAAGAGTTAAACTATTAACTAATAAACTAAAAATATCAACAAAACATGGAACTAATTATTATACAAAACAAACACTAAAAGATCTTTTTTAATTGTAAGACGTATTTCTCAAAAACAATTATTTTGACCCTTAAACTTTTTTATACATGAATGAATTTTTTTGGATCAAATTTAAGAATAATTAAATCAAATTTATTAACTTGAAACAAAATTAAAACACCGGATGACAAAGTGGAAAAAGACACAATAAATGAGAAATGATTTCAAACTTATCATAAAAGTATACTTTAATTCACAAACTTCACATGTTATACATATTCAATCTCTTAATAGTTTTTTAATTTAATTTAATTTTGATATAAAATTTTGTTGTTATTTTTTAATTATTAATTAGAAAAATAAGAGAAAAGGATTGTCATCTTCTAATGTTTTAGATATAAAAATATTGTTGGCATTAATTTCAGCAAGAAAAAATAATTGATATTTATGTTCAATGATTATATTTGATTAGAAAAGTGTAATTTAAGTATTTTTTTTAATCTTAAAAGTACCTAAAAATATTTGAGCTCAGAAAATTTTTTTCTTTTGGGCTTTGGGATTTTTTATGATATCAATAAATTTATCAAGATACTTAAAGTGTTTTTTAGATGTTTTGAATCAAAATGAATTAAAAAACATGTTTTTTTGGTCAAAAATCCTTCTGTCCGAATTTTTTGACTATCAAAGTTGTCAGAATTTAAGTAAAGTAAGGCGATACATTGTTTAACTTACTTTTTTTTTTCAAGAAAAATTAGGATGGACCACATAATTATATTTAAAAAAAAAATAGGCTCATGCACACGTCCTCCTACATGTTGCGTGGCCTATTTTTGTGGTAATTTTGGCTTTAAAGAAAAACAAATTTTTTTCTATATTTTTTTAAATAATTTTTTAATTTATATTTAAATTAATACCACTTTTCTTTGATTTTTAGTTTTTTGTATTTAGCATTTTTTAAATGGTGATTGTTTTTTTAAGTATTTTGTATGTATTTAATTTTTGAGAATTTTTTCTATTTCATCTATAATTTGTTTTATATTTTACATAATTGAGCTTTATTTTGAAAAATAAATTTTTATTTTATTTTTAGATAGTATTTCTAGCAAGTGCAACTTTGCGAGATATTTTTTCACTTTGTTTTTATTCAATTTATTTTATGTGTATATATTTTCTACTCTCTTTTGATTAAATAAAAATAATAATTTTAATAAATAATTAGGTAAGTAAACTATGTTGTGGAATCAAGTATTTTGATTTACATTACTCTCTCAACTTTTCCATATATGTATTTTGTTATCATTATTTTTTTTTCATTTGTTGACACATGATTCTTGGAGTGTTTAATTAGATTCATGAATAATTTTTTTTATTTGCACTTGATATTTTTTATATAAAAAAGCCTATATATTTAATTTTTTTATTGGGAAAAAATATTCAGCTCACGGCAAAACATAAGTTAAATAACTAGTACAAACCTAAAATATATGAGAAAATCATTAGACACATGTCATGATTTTTTATAGATTGTGATAATAAAATTATAATTTTAACCTTCATAAAAAAAAATCAAACGAAAGGAAAAATGGTCTTTTCATGAGGGTAATTTATCATTCTTTATTAGTTTAGGGGCAACCTTGCCTTTTCTAATTTCTTGGAAAAGTTAAGTTATTATATTACCTTAAAAAGATTTTTTAAAAAAATTAACCTCCAATCTATGAGCTTTATAGAATTTCGTTTTACTATAAATATTATAATGACTTAATTGCCCTTAACATTAAAGTGTTTAGCCTTGATTTCAGAGGTTTAATAGTAATTTCATAATGATTTTTCCGTTGTTAACATTTAGTTCTAGAGGCAGTTTTTTATTCATCAAAATAAAATAAAAAAAAGTTGATATGTGTTATAGCATAAGCCATTCCATCTCCTTCATGCGACTCATGAGACTGACTTTTATGGTCATAATCATGCTTCCACAACATCATTTGATTCTTCTCGGCATTCTCTTTCTTCACAGGTGGTGTGTGGATGGTGATCCAATCTTGTTTAGCAAATATTAATGTTTTTTTTTTTTCCTTCTTCTCGATTTGCATGTTATCTCTTGAAAAAATCACATCAACCTTTTAATTTCTTTTCCTTTAAGATTCGGTCTTTGTTCTCCTAATTATAATTTTTCATTTGAAAAAACTATTTCAAATTAAAAATTATTTTGAATTTCATCATTCTTTAATTTTTCACTATCGATTTGTTTTTCTATCAAATTTAATTTTTATTTTTTTAATTGTTAATTTTATGTTTTTATAAGTTTTTTAGATTGATTTTTTTTATTTTTAAAAATTAAATTGATTGAAAATTAACTTTCTTAATTAAGTCCAGCTACAAGATTTCTTGAGTAATGATTTTGAAATATTTACTCAATTTTAAAACACTCACTCAAGTTTGTTTTGTTTTTAATGTTATTAAATTAAGGTTTTTTATATTATTAAATTAAAAAAACTTACATTTAACTTATTTAAAAATCGTAGCATCATCTTAACATTTTTCTTTTTAAATCCTTAAAAGTTCACCCTAGCCCACACCATTGCACCCGCTATTGGTATAGGTTTACTCAATTTTTTTTTTTTAATTCTATGTATCTTTGTTCTTTTAATCTTCAATATTTTATTTATTATAATTAAGTTATCTAATTTGTTTTGGTACAAGTTCTATAATTTTATCATGATATTGTATCTTAGATTATGGATTTCATAAATTAATTATAATTAATTCTAGTTAATTTAATATATAATTATTTAAATATTTTTTTTAAAAAAATATTATCCAAATATATCACCATTTAAATATTTTAAAAGTATTTTTACCAACATACTTGAATTTTTCATCTCCTAACATCTTTATAAATTTTTTAAGGTTGAAAAAAGAATTATAACTCTGTGCACCGCGGGTAGAGAGCTAGTGTTTAGTATTTACGTACAGTCAAGTCATTATTTATAGCACTGTGTATTGGATATTTTTCTTCTAGATCCCTCATGTTTTTTGTTCTTTCACTTTGGTTATTGAATTTTATTTTTTTAATTAATTTGATCTGATATGTTGTCATGGTTTTATATTTTTGAATTTGTTTATATTTGAATATTTTTACATGTGCAAGATATTAGAGAATATTTTGACTTTAAATGAAATCTCGATTTTACAAAAAGGAATTTTATGTTATTGTTAAAAAATTATAAGAAAAATAATTAAAATTAACATACAAGAAAAGCATAGCCTTTTTGTCATCTGCACTACTCCAAAGCATGGAAAATTTCAATTTGACCTTTCAGTTTTTAATTTTTAAATTTTATATATTTGGTCGCTATAAATTAACAAAAACTTGAACTCTTTTTTTATAGGCAAAAAATAAAACGGTGGAAGCGGAAGACTTGTCTTCTAGTCATTTTTAAAAAAATAATTATTTATTTTTTTAATTTAAAAAATAATACAACTAGGACATGCCTGCAAGATTGGCCTTCTTTTATTGATTTTGATTTGTAATTTAATTTTTAACTTATATTCCTTCTTTTTTTAATTATTTAATTTAACTATTTTTAAATAGTAAGATATACACGAGAAAAATGTATGAAATGAAAAGGATAGTCTAAGGTAAAAAAGAAAAATTGTATTTTTATCTATCTCTTATTTTATTATTTTGGGAAAATCAACTCTTCATTTCTAGCCTTTAATTATCACTCGTAATTTTATTTATTTATAGTTAATATATTTTTTAATTTCTTACATGAATGAAACACATAGATCATCTTTTCATTTATCAATTAACAAATTTCATACATAAAAATATTTGCAATGTCTATTTATGATTTTATATATATATATATATATATATATATATATATATATATAATTAAGTTGGAATCCAAGTGCAATGCAGCATGGATACATTGACTAGTAGATTCTAGTTGAGAACATTTAGATTATGCGTGCAAAGATCTCAGATTATTTTTCATTATTTATTGTGATTTTTTTTAATACTGTGTGCTTGATTTTCACATACTTTTTTTTAATTTATTCAAAACGAGAATCTATTATAAGGGATGCGAATTTAAACGAACATAAGACGATTGCTTTGTTAAATACAAACATAGAACAAGATAGATCTGGGCTTCACGAATAAACTTTCTATTCTGACAGGAGACATTGCGATTGTCTTGGTGGTTGATTTGGGTTGGCTTTTATGCATGATATGTTGAAGTTGCTGTGCAGAGCTCACAGCAACCTAACCTTGCCTTGCCTGAACAGATAGGCTAGACAAGGCCACAACGCCGTCGTCGGAACTTCCTTCAGTAGCAACTCTAGAATCACCAAGTCAAGATTGTCATCTGGGTTACGAAATTCTAGCTGTTTGAAGGGAGCAATGGTGATCATTGATCATTGGAAACATTAAATATGCAAACCCCACATCTCCTGTCTTACAAATTACCAATCATGATCAGAACATTAATGGTTCATAGTTACAGTCAGGAAAGAATCAAGGAATTTTGATATGTACATTTTGATACAGCACGTAGGCGCACCAAACCAGCAATACATTTTCTTTATTTCATCCGCTCAGTCACCTGAGCAGTTCCCAATCCAAACGGAAAATCAGTGCTTATTTTCAGTGCAGAGTCTGTGCTTGCACTTTACCGACGCTAGACATTACTACATGGAAATTGTAGCAGGTGATACCAGGAAAATTAGACAGCAACCAGTGGCCTCAGGAAAATTAGCAGGTGATACCAGGAAAATTAGACAGCAACCAGTGGCCTCATGAAACCTGGACCAATTTTATTCAAGAACAGCAAAATTGTTGGCTGCCACTTTTTTAGCATTTCCAGCAAGAAGCTGCAATTATAGGCTTTGATTTCCAGCCAAGCACCAAGCACCCCTTCTCTTCAACAACTGTGTAACCATCACAAACCTTACTCTTCACCAGCCATTGCTTAGCCTGGGCCATCATCTTAATGGGGGCAACCTGAAATCCTGCACGGCTCATCCTCCTGCGCCACTGATCCACCCTCTCATGCCGTTCAACTCTTGCCGGCCCCTCACAGCTCACAATGTTCTTTATCTCTTCTGCGAAGTAAAACTGCTCCATCTTGGCACGCCTAGTGTCGTATTTGGGCAGCATGGTATCCAAGGAGTCAAAGATGGCGGAATAGTAATGCAGTGCCTCCATGAATCTTCCTAGAAAGAATGGACCATTGTGGCTTGAATCTTGTTCAACTAGAACAAGAACCTTTGGTGAGAGCTCATGAATAATCTGAAAGACAGAATTCAGAGCTCCCCTACTTTCCTTAACCACGCAATGGAGTTGAAGAATGCTGTTGACAACAAGAACTTCATCTTCACTGGTTTTGATGTCTTCAGGCCTCAAGTTTTCCAGGCTGCTTTTCACCACTGAGAACTCCAGATTAATTCCCATATCTTTTGCGTATTCCTCGAGTTCATCACCGATGATTCGGAATCTGTCAACGCAAAGGCCAACACCAGTTATTCGAAAAAGACTAGGTGGTCGGAATCTGTCAACGCAAAGGCCAACACCACTTATTCGAAAAAGACTAGGTGGCTTTCCAGCTCGTTCGGCGAGGCTTTGGATAAGCAAGCGCCATTGGTGACCGTGTGGTAATCCAAGTGTCATTCCTAGGTCCACCACATGAACTGAACTCTCTCGCTCAAAGGCTTCCAAAATAGAATTATTGGCAACAAAGTGACCAAACCGAATATGTGGGCAAATTTCGTAAACAAGGCGTAAAGCTTCTTCCTTCTTGCCTGAGGCAATATCTATTATGTTCATCGTGGGTGCAACAAAACCAACCGCCCCTAGTGGTTGAAAGAAAGAGAGCCTGTCGATCAGTCCTTGCACGAAGCAAGATGCCACCCGTTGGAAAGCAGAGCCAAAGACCAAAGCCTTAGATCGGAGCTCAGATAATAAGGCCGAGGCATGTGACTTGTCACGACAGGCCACGGCTTCTGCGCAAGCAATTAGAAGCTGAACCAACCTCATTCCGTCAGCATTCCCTTCTTCTTCATTTCCACCTTCCTCGGCATTGATCATGGCTGCTGCTTCCTCTTCAACAACCTCGGCTGCATGATATCTTTGCGTATAATTCCATATATGATTTCTGAAATGAAGCTTTGGAATGTTATTCAAGCTGTTAGTGCTACTACTGCGGCAAATACTGCTTCCACCACTATAAAGACTGCTACCATTACTTCTTATGGATTCAACCATGCTTGAGGACCGTTTGATCCTCTTAGCATCTTCGGTTTCATCCGGAAGAGGGAGCATCCAGGAAACAACATTGTTCTCAAATATGGGCAAATAAGGGTACGGATAACAAGCCATGGCTGCAAGACTGAGATCAAGACCACTCGTTTCACTTATGTATTCATCATTGAACTCCCTTGACAAGAAACTATGAGCCATCTCTCCTTCTCTCTCTCCCTCACACACGCGGGCGGGTACACGCTTCTCTGTCGCTAAAAATATATGAGTGAAGCTCTGGAAGAACCTTCACAAAACGAGGGCAAAATACATAGGCGAGCGCCTGCGGTAATTCTTGTTCGTAAACAACTAGGCCAAAGCATATTTTCATATGAAACCATGAAAGTAAGACAAATGTGCTATTGTCCAAATTAGATGTCTGCCTAATTCGTGGCATAGACAAGCAAAAATGCATAGAGCAATGAATGTAATCCCCATTGTCATCTTTCTCCAAGATTTTTGGATTTCCTGTCTTGGAGACATTCCACCGTAGTTGGCCACTTCTAATTTTACTCAGAGTCCTAACAATTGAAAAATCTTAAAACGGTAAGACATCATTTTCTTCGAGGTTCTCTTGTCTTCAAGTTCATGGAGTTTATTTTACCTTACACACACACAAACACACACACACATAGAGAGTATAAGTTTATCAAGTCATATCCTTTATCAATCCGGGTTTTACAAGAAAAAAGTGAAAGCCAGGACTAAAATTGGTGGCCTGTGGAGCTTGCTTACACGTTACGCACCAAGGCATGCAGCACGTAGAAACTCATCAGGTTAGACTAGTTTAATTTAACGAGGGTTAATGTTAGGGTGCCTTCGCAAGAAAACGTACCCAACATTGATTGAATTCAAACAAAGATTCAACCAGGTGTTCATTACATCTAGAAAATTAGAAAATATTAATAAAATATTTTGTCGTTAAATGTTATATAAAGAAGATTTTGTCTATATTGAAAATTAATAATGAAAACATCAATGAAATACTACCATCAGAAACTAATCCTTCAAGGTTTTTTATTTTATTCGCAACTTTCAATACCAATAGAATCTTCAAAAGAATATTCACGTTTAAAAATCTGTTTTTATTATGTTTAATATTATAATAGCGGTTGTGGTTATGGGTTGAAAAAAATTATTTTATAAAAAATATTTTTAGTTAAGATTGGTTTGAAAAAATAGATATTTGATTAAAACCGTGGTTAAAATTGAGGTTGAAGAAAAAGTAGTTTAATGTGTTTAGTTAAGAATACTTTTGAAATTGAGTTTATAAAATAATTTAAAAATATATATATTAATATTAATGGTTTTAAATTTAAATATTGTAAAATTAACTACTTCTATTATATTATAAAATAAATAATAATTTATATAAAATATTTTTTATTATTCCATTACATACAAAATTCAGTCGATAAGAACTATAATTTTTATAATTTTGTGAGCGTGTAATAAAATTCAGAAAATACTATCAAGTATAAAATTAATATTATAATGCAAGTTAATTTAATTCACTCTATACTAGTTTTTTTAAAAAAAAAACTATTAAAAAAATTAACACACTTAAAAAGAAAATTAAACTATTCACATGAAAATGTAATTTACTTATGAACCATAGGTTGAAACTTGTAAAAAAACATCATTTTACTACTTCAAAAAAATCACGGCCCCACCTCATATAAATGGTGGGACCCATATACTTTGATTGTTTAATAATATATAATCAAACAACTATTTCATGTGTTTTTAAAGAAACACGAACATTAACGTGTAGCCAAACAGGCTTTTTATCAATAATTTCATCACTATTTATTTTTTTGATGAAATAGTATGTTAACAATTCCATCGGAAAGCTCCTACACATTCTCTAAGTTTTACTAGAAGTTTTAGAGTGGGTACAAACATTCTGATAGAATTTATAAAAAAAATGTTGATGAAATATTCATTTTATTGGTGATTTCATCAAAGTATTTGCACCTTTATTGAATATCTACTTAGATTTAACAACCATTAACGGTCAAAGAAAAAAATATTCAAGACATTGAAGTTACCAATTATTAAACATTTACATGTATTTTAAATCATGTGATAAATTATTCATCTTGTAATTAAAATAATTGAGTTTTACTAACATTTGAATTTTGATATAACAACAATTGATAATTATCAATCTTTTAATTTAATATAATTAATGAAAATTCTATATAATTGAAAAACTAACTTATGGGTCCCAATTTATCATAGTTATATAACACATAATTATATACTTGTCTAAATTTAGTGCCAATCAAATATCTTCTCCTCATTGATTTTTTCGATAATGGTCATCCAATATAGCAAAATATTGAAAAATTCTCACTTGAATATAGTTCACCACTAACATTATTTATGAGAATTTGATTTATTCATATTTTAAGTGAGTTTCAAGATAATACGAGGTAAATATTAAATATTTTTAGCAATCTAAGCCTCAAATATTAAAGCCTTATCTTGAATCTCTTTTTAACCTTTGTTTTAAGTTTAAATAAGTATCTAAATGAAAGTAATTAAAAATAAATAATTAAGTGTTGAAAAAATAATGAAAAAATACTTAGGATGTCATCCCTTGGCCTTCTAAAGGATACATTGTATATGAATTCCTACTTTTACCTTGTATATTAAATGTGTGGGTAGATTTTCTATTAAAACAAAGAAAAAAGAAGAGAAGATGATTTCAAGTTTGCTACATGAAACTCATAATTTATCAACTCTATATTCTCCCAATTACAATACAAAGGTAAATATAACTTAGTTTTATATTGTTATTTGTTTTTCATTTTATGTACCATTTTGAAAATATTTTTAAATGCATTATTCTCGATGTCCATCACATCCAACCTATGACGGATGACACTGGTCTTTCAATAAAAAAAACTCTAAAAAAATACTTTGATTAATTCAATTATAGTTAACACCAAAATCATGAATTTTTTTTGAATTAAAACTAAAAATGATGCCTTCATACTTTAAAACTTCATCATACAATTCTTTACTCAATAATATGAACGATGCAGTATCTTTTTCAACTTTACCTTTTAATTTTTTTTTTAATTTCTAAATTGATAATGACTTGGTAAAAATCTCCGGTGGCAATTAAAAAAAATAGTTTTACACTATTGAATAATATAAAAACCTTATTATGGTGCATGTAATATGGACAAAATAACATTTCATATATGCTTCAACCCGAAACCATCTCATAAACAAAAAAATCAATTAGAGTCCATGTCAATATTTTTTTCATTTAAGAATTATGTTTTCTAGAGAAATTATATTTATTCAACTCATTGAAGATAAACACTAGAATATAACTGTTTTTTTAGTTCATTGTTGTTTCATTCAAAATTACTAACATAAAAATTTTGTTGATAAAACACAATGAAATGTTTTTCCTCGTTGTTTTTATTCTTTTTTTGTTTTTGGTGGTGTTGATTGTATTTGCAGATTCAGATGTATAGAAATTATTGTCTTCTTGAGCATTATCTTATATATATTAAACCTGAAACCTCTAAATAGTTAACACCTATTTAATTTGCTTGCTAATTAAAAACCTTCTACAGAGGTGGAGGTTTACATATTTTCTTTGCTTATATATATATATATATATTACTTGAAAAAGGTCATCCACAACGCGCATGAGAAAAATAATTTCATTTTTGAACCATTTCATTTTAATCATGCAAAAAAACAACTTCAGCGTGGAATGATTTGCCGGCTTAATTATACGGGAACATCCAGGAAATACAACAAAGATTATCGTGAGCATGCATCGAGTTCATCTTTTACGCAAGTAATAAATTATTAAAAAGTAATACAAATTATATTTTTAAATTTTATTTAGTAATTTAAATTATTAAATTAAAATAATTTTTTAATATAATATCAAAATCTTCAATTTTTTTTATTTATTTAATAAAAATTAAATTACAAAATAAAATGATCCGTTCAAATTTCAAACCTAAAAATTTTTGTACTTGATAAATATATTAAAAAATAATATAATTTTTAATTATATAAAAAAATTAACAGACAACAAACATATACAAATAAAGTAGGAATATGCAATTTTGATCTTGATGCCTGGATTATTCGAACTTACAGGACTCATTTAATTTCGATAGTGTCCGGCATAACATATATATTACAAGGCTCAACAATATCATAGTAACAAGAGATTAACATTAAACAAACGTATAGACAGATGCATGCCACTGTCTCCTTGAATATGTTAATGTCACCGTCGACGTCATGATCCCGCATCGGACGGCGAGGATGCTTCTGGGATTAGAAATTTTGTGCGCTTCATTTCATTTTTTACTCAGAACACCCATTCAGGAATAACAATACAAGCGTTTTTTTTTTTTTAATGTAAAATGGTTTCGTTCTGTATCCGCATGCATGCACTCTTGGGAAATACATGACACGATAGGAAAAGATAAATGGCATAGTTAGCTAGTTCAATGCATCAAAAATAAATAAATAAGAGGCAAAGAGTCGGCTAGACAAAAAAAAAAACTATTAAAAAATAATATAAATTATATTTTAAGATCTCATATAATAATTTAAATTTTTAAATCGAAATGATTTTCTGATATGATATTAAAAATTTAATAATCAAATGATTATGAATTCAAATCTTACCATCTTTATTTATTTGATAAAAATTAAATATAAGGTAATGTAGATCTGTGCAAGTTTCAAACTCAAAGAATTTTTACTTGAAAAGATGTATTAGAGAATAATATAAATTATATCCTGCAACCTTACTTAATAGTTTAAATTTTTAGATTGAAATGATTCTTTAATAAAAATAAAATCAATTCAAGTTCCACTACTTGCATTTCTAATTGAGATATAAATATGCAATTGATATGGTTTCACAAATAAAAACTTAATTGGTAAAATTCTTTAATCGTAGAGATACTCAGCTGATCTTCTCATCTTCGTGTCTAGGATAATGACAGGGCCATTGTTTGTTTGATCGGGCCTTTAATCATGCTAATTGCCAGGAAGATATTAACAGTATTATGAAACAATTTGGCAATTGATATTGGAAATGGACCTAAAATTCAATAGGAAACGGATCATCCAAAGAACTTTGAGAAGTAAGTTTTGTTTGCTAG